GAGTGGAGTTTGCATGTTCTCCACGTGTCTACGTAGGTTTTCTCCGGGTACTCTGGTTTCCCCTACCACTTAAAACATGTACAATAGGTCTGTGCCTCCTGTACTGGCCCCTCCCATCTCTGTGTGGAGTGAGAGACTAATGCATAAAATTAACAATTGTAAACCGTTTTGTGACTCTGGTCTGTGAAAGGTGGTATATAAATAAATATTACTTACTTACGTTGAATTCCTGCATACACTTTGGGCCATCCTTATAATGTCTCTAATTTACAGAAGTCTCTATCTAGTACCATATTTAAGTTATTAAGAAATTAAAAAAGGTTTAGGTAAAAACTTCTGGCTTCTAAAGGGTTAACTGGACACAACATTATTTAATGACTGATTGAACACAAAGCTTCGTAAATAACACAAGAATCTCTGAGGAGGCCGACATTAGCACGGTTATGTTAGCGTCTGTGTCAGGACTCATTCACCAGTCTATTTTTATAATAAGCGTGTGTCCTTTAGCTGCTATACTTCCTGTCAGGCATTAATTTGCATCTTTGAAAACATGTGACCTAAAGGTGCAGTATATAGGAGAATTTTCTACTTCAGGGTGGATCATAAAGACTATTGGTCCTCCCAAATGTCAATCATTCTGGTGATAAGAGCTGAGAATTTTGTTCAAAAAGTGGAGAGGGCGGTTCTTTCCTAAAATTTGGGAAAATCCTCCTTTATCGATCTAATGTTCATAATGACCGAAGAAATAAACTACTACTACTAGCATTAAGACAAGTCCTGTGTATTTCTCTGCATTTCCTTGAGCTGCTGTTCACATAAACCACAGATGATATCCCAACATCCAACAATATGTCACAGTCAGCGACAGTGGCTCAGTTGGTAGAGCATTGGCCTTAGAGCCTGAAGGTTGTGGGTTCGAGCCCACCACAAGACCTACTTCACAACTCCAACTGATGACTGTTGTCGTTGTGTCCTTGGGCAAGACACTTAACCCCACTTTGCCTGAAGCCCCCGCTGAAAAATCAAGGCTCCCGTTGACACAGCCCTTAGCTACCCTCAGTGCGTTTAGGGAAATGACACCCTCGGTTCCAAAAATCCAATGTTTCGGATTACGTCACTCTCCCTGTTGGCTAACCACACTCCAGCTCTTGCGCAGAGTTAATACCTTCCCATTGTCTTAAGACCCACGTGTGACATCACCGCAATTTATCCTGATCTGAACCGAGCACATCTGGCACACCTGCTCCTTCACCGGCAGCCTGTTTTATTGATGAGGAGCCACCTGGACCGTACCCAAGAGGCGTTTGGGAAAATCCATTTTACAACAACTCCCCCCCTCCTGCTTTCTTTTTCATCCTCTCCAAACACACCCTCCCCTTGCTTTGTCTCTGCTGTGCCCCCCCAACACCGATATTTCAACGTGTATCTGCAAAACGGGTTTGTTCTAATTGTTATTTGACATTATTTGCTGTCTCCTGCAGTCAGCGAGGAGGCGATTTAGGGCCGGTGCCGGTTTTGCGCAGCCATAATTGCTCTCCATTAAAGTGTCGGCAGTGCTGAGTCGGGAGCTGAGGCGCACACACACACTCGGTTTTAAACATCTCATTGTGATAAGTGAGCGTATCTATGCTTTATAGACAACTGCAGTGTTCCAATTAGGGGCCTCAAACCGCGGGTAATGAGCAGTTTGTAGAGTGCAACTTCTACATTTATAGCAGCCACTTTGGGAGTCAGTGCCAGTGTGAAATGTGAGAGTAAATGGTATTAGATAAAGATTATATTGTAGCGGAGAAGATCATCTGCTGCTTAAGCTTTGAACATTATCACTTTGTCAAGGCCCGTTCGTGTCAGATGTTGGTGAAAGATGATGTTGTGTCCAGAGGCAAGACACCACTCACATTTCTTTCAATAATAAAATATATATATATAATAATGGGGCAGTGTCAGTAGCTCAGTTGGTAGAGTAGTGGCCTTTGGGCTAGGAGTGTGACGATAAATCGATATAACGATATATCGTGATACTTTCTCCCGCGATCGATTATCGATATGCATTTTCCAAGTATCGTTTAGATTAAGTATCAATACATAATTTATGACTACATTACCCTTCTCCATTCCATTTATCATGAAATTAAGTGTAATTTTTCACTCAACATTTTTCTTTTCTGACCAATATATATCGATAATCGTCATATCGTGATATATTCGTTGTCGTGATATATTCGTTATCGTGAGCTTTGTATCGCGTATCATGGCGTATCGTGAGGTACCCTGAGGTTCCCACCCCTACTTTGGGCCTGAAGGTCGTGGGTTCGATCCCATTACGAGACCTACTCCAACTGCTCCAACTCCTTTCTGATGTCGTTGTATCAGAATCAGAATCAGAATCATTTTTATTGCCACGTAAGTAACAGGAAGTCACAGACTTGGAAATTTCTTTGGCTCAGTGCAACAGTCAGAAAGAGATAATAAAAACACTTCTAAGGAATAATTTAAATCCTTGGGCAAGACACTTAAACCCGACGTTGTCCAAAGCCCCCGCTGAAAGACCGAGGCTGTATCACGGCTGACAGAGCAGTCATCTTCCTGCAGACTTGAGGATCTATGAGGGTGCTATGACACTTGGGTGCAGCTCTCATTGCCACCCCCTGACCCAGAAATGGACTAATAAAGGGGTAAAAAAATGAATGAATGAATATAACAATGTTTTAATGTAATTTTCTTATAGTCTTTATTTGAAAGAACAATGTAGAGAGACATTAACCTCAAAGACATATGTTCTGCACTAAAGCTCAACAACTAGTTTCCATCTGCAGTCCCTGATTACATAAATAAAATACATGAATACAATAACATGTACAATCCAATATAAATACCATCACAATGCAACACACTCTCTTAGATACAGACTCACACACATATTTAGCCTTAAACCTTTCTGACATTGGAATGCTGTTTAACTTATCGTTTTAAGAAGTAAGATGTGTATACTGCGGCACGGTGGCTGAGTGGATAGCACTCTCGCCTCTCAGCAAGAAGGTCCTGGGTTCGAATCCCGGCCGGACCAGGGCCTTTCTGAGTGGAGTTTGCATGTTCTCCCCGTGTCTGCGTAGGTTTCCTCCGGGTACTCCGGTTTCCCCTACCACTAAAAACATGCACAATAGGTCTGGCATGCGCCTCCTGTACTGGCGACCCCGCTCCCATCTCTGTGTGGAGTGAGAGACTAATGCCCAAAAATAATAACAATTGTAAACCGCTTTGTGACTCTGGTCTGTGAAAGGCGGTATATAAATAAAGATTACTTACTACTACTACTTACTATACTGAAATAGCTGTATAGTTCACTGTCGGCTCCGGCCAGTCCGTCTTTTGCCTGTTCCTGTTTTCTGTGACTTCTTCCTGTCCTCTCTGCATGTGAAGGTGTGTCTTGTGCTATGAAAAGGAGCTTACAGACTGTTTGAGTTTCAGACCTGTCCTGAGAGAGCCTGAGCTGTGTGCTCTGTCAAGACATTTTCTCCTTGGACTGGGTGGCTAAAAATATTGCCTTTCTACTGTACAGTATGTCTGTTTGTTGTTTGAGATTTTGTCCAGGTTCAACTGTGGTTAAACATCAGCATAACACTTTATTTAGCGCTTTTTGGACACTCAAAGATGCTTCGCATTCATTCACTCCATATATGGTGATAAACTACTGCCCTGGGGCACAGTGACAGAGGTGAGGCAACCAGTTTGTGCCATTGGCCTTAGCCCTAAACGTCACTATCGTGGTCTGTAAATAAAAGATACTTTGGAGCTACATAGCTGTGCAGATTTTGCTTTATTTTACGTAGTGTGCACCTTTTTTTACAGTAGCTCAGTTGTAGAGCATTGGCTTTTGGGCCTGAAGGTCGTGGGTTCAAGCCCACCGTAAGACCTACTTCACGACTCGAACTGATGACTGCTGTCGTTGTGTCCTCGGGCAAGACACTTAACCCACTTTGCCTGAAGCTCCCACTGAAAGATCTCAGCTCCTGTGGACTCAGCACCTGCAGGAGGATCAGTGAGGGGCTGGTGCTCTGTGGACTGGGTGCAGCTCTGACTGCCACCCCCCCGACCCAGAAATGGATTAAGGGGAAGAAAATGGATGGATGGATGCACCTTTTTTGAACCTGGCATGTTAGTTTAGGTTACTGGGATGTGCAGCCCTCTGACCACCAACCATCCACACACACCAGACTCATTCTAGGCCAGGGTCTCCAACCTGTAGCTCGGGAGCTAACAGTAGCTCATCAGCCCCTTTCAGGTAGCTCTCCAAAGGATTTAGGAATGAACTAATAAAATATCATCATACTTTGTGCACAAGTGATGATAAATAATAAATAATGACTGGTGATATAACGACTACCCCAATATATTTTCCAAGGACCGCTCAAAGCCCTCCGTCTTTTTTGTTTTGGGAAAAGTAGCTCCCTGGGTGAAAAAGGTTGGAGACACCTGTTCCACACAATGTGGGTGAAGTGTCTTGCCTGAGGACACAACCACAGTTTGGCACTTGACAACCGCAGCCGCCCCACTGTGGCCCCTGCAGTTCCCAGAGGTCTCCCATCACAGTACTAACCAGTGGGGGCGGGTCCCGGCTCAAATGCTCAATACCACCCCGGGCCTGTGGGGGTGTACCCGGAATAAGAATTAGCCAATGCTAACATATAGCATCTTCTTACCTCTGGAAAACGTCTTTACAGGATGGTCCAAAAGTTGTCTCTTGGCCCAAAGCTCCGTTCCACATGTGTGTCAATGCTGAGTGTTCTGGACCAGTCTAGTTTAGTCGCTGTGGACTTTAGAAGTCTCTCGTTCAAATGAATGGAGCTCGTGCAGCTGATGCATGCACAGATGCGTTTTTTCACATTTTCCAGCCCCTGCGGCCATTTTGAATCACTCCATGAAAGCCCAATTTTTGGCCCATTAGTTAGAACGGCGGAGATAGGCCTGACTAGGTCTGTTAATATTTACAGTCTATGGTACTAACCAGTGGGAGAGGCTGTAGAGCTGAGAGTGGGAGAGGGTGTAGAGCTGAGAGTGGGAGAAGGCGTAGAGCTGAGAGTGGGAGAGGGTGTAGAGCTGAGAGTGGGAGAGGCTGTAGAGCTGAGAGTGGGAGAGGGTGTAGAGCTGAGAGTGGGAGAAGGCGTAGAGCTGAGAGTGGGAGAGGGTGTAGAGCTGAGAGTGGGAGAGGGTGTAGAGCTGAGAGTGGGAGAGGCTGTAGAGCTGAGAGTGGGAGAGGGTGTAGAGCTGAGAGTGGGAGAAGGCGTAGAGCTGAGAGTGGGAGAGGGTGTAGAGCTGAGAGTGGGAGAGGCTGTAGAGCTGAGAGTGGGAGAGGGTGTAGAGCTGAGAGTGGGAGAAGGCGTAGAGCTGAGAGTGGGAGAGGCTGTAGAGCTGAGAGTGGGAGAGGGTGTAGAGCTGAGAGTGGGAGAAGGCGTAGAGCTGAGAGTGGGAGAGGGTGTAGAGCTGAGAGTGGGAGAGGGCGTAGAGCTGAGAGTGGGAGAGGGTGTAGAGCTGAGAGTGGGAGAGGGTGTAGAGCTGAGAGTGGGAGAAGGCGTAGAGCTGAGAGTGGGAGAGGGTGTAGAGCTGAGAGTGGGAGAGGGTGTAGAGCTGAGAGTGGGAGAAGGCGTAGAGCTGAGAGTGGGAGAGGCTGTAGAGCTGAGAGTGGGAGAGGTGGTGTAGAGCTGAGAGTGGGAGAGGGTGTAGAGCTGAGAGTGGGAGAGGGTGTAGAGCTGAGAGTGGGAGAGGGTGTAGAGCTGAGAGTGGGAGAAGGCTGTAGAGCTGAGAGTGGGAGAGGGTGTAGAGCTGAGAGTGGGAGAGGGTGTAGAGCTGAGAGTGGGAGAGGCGTAGAGCTGAGAGTGGGAGAGGGTGTAGAGCTGAGAGTGGGAGAAGGCGTAGAGCTGAGAGTGGGAGAGGGTGTAGAGCTGAGAGTGGGAGAGGGCGTAGAGCTGAGAGTGGGGAGGGGAGAGGGTGTAGAGCTGAGAGTGGGAGAGGGCGTAGAGCTGAGAGTGGGAGAGGGTGTAGAGCTGAGAGTGGGAGAGGGTGTAGAGCTGAGAGTGGGAGAAGGCGTAGAGCTGAGAGTGGGAGAGGGTGTAGAGCTGAGAGTGGGAGAGGCTGTAGAGCTGAGAGTGGGAGAGGCTGTAGAGCTGAGAGTGGGAGAGGGTGTAGAGCTGAGAGTGGGAGAGGGTGTAGAGCTGAGAGTGGGAGAAGGCGTAGAGCTGAGAGTGGGAGAGGGTGTAGAGCTGAGAGTGGGAGAGGGCGTAGAGCTGAGAGTGGGAGAGGGTGTAGAGCTGAGAGTGGGAGAGGCTGTAGAGCTGAGAGTGGGAGAAGGCGTAGAGCTGAGAGTGGGAGAAGGCGTAGAGCTGAGAGTGGGAGAGGGTGTAGAGCTGAGAGTGGGAGAGGGCGTAGAGCTGAGAGTGGGAGAGGGTGTAGAGCTGAGAGTGGGAGAGGGCGTAGAGCTGAGAGTGAGAGAGGGTGTAGAGCTGAGAGTGGGAGAGGCTGTAGAGCTGAGAGTGGGAGAGGCTGTAGAGCTGAGAGTGGGAGAGGGTGTAGAGCTGAGAGTGGGAGAGGGCGTAGAGCTGAGAGTGGGAGAGGGTGCAGTGTGTAAAAATCTCCGTGCTCTCACCGTAAACAGGGATCTGCGTGTTCCAGAGAAGCACGTATCAGAACATACAGTCTATAAATTATATATCCTCCCAAGAGAGAGCGTACGCAGCCTGTCTGTCAATACTGCCTTCCCTGAATACAAATATATCCCCTGCATGGAATCAACTCAGACAAAAACCTTATTTGTGACATTTATCGTTTTTTATTGACCTTTGGGTTGAGTCGAAGTCCGTCAGCGCCACAGGGAGAACATGCATACTCCAGGTGGATTTGGAGAAAAGGTTGAACGACTGCCTGTGGACGGCTTATGTTGGAGCTGCACAGATGAGTTTGTTATATATAAATAAAGCTGTCATTGGGAGGCCGTCTAACCTTTACTGGAAATACATAACTGAGCAATGTTCAAATCCTCACGTCCATCAACACGTTTTATGAATGAAGCAGTTTTAAAGAAGCAAGAATCACACGAGATGGAAAATAAGTCAAAGATTGCTCTGATGTGGCAAAAACTATCTTAATCTGAGCACATTTTGACTGCTTTAGAACCAGACAATGGGACAAAAGAAAATTATCGGTTTAAAAAAAATACAAGAAATGTCTCGCTTGAAATGAGAAAATAAAGCAACAGTTCTTGGAATAAGACTAAATGGCTTTGTCCCGTTGAAGAATCTTGTTTTTCAGTCATAAAGTACTCAAACCAATAATGTACAAGATATGATATATAAATTAAGATAAATACACATAAAAGCCAAAGAGAAACAGTAAAAACCCATGGACAGAAAAATAAGTTTGAGATTTGTGCGTTTTCATTAAAAAACGACACATTTTCTTATTTGTTATGAGTTTTGTTTTGCTTGTTTTGTGCTGTTGAATATGTGGCATAGTCAGGAGAGCTTTATGAAAGAACCAACAGAGTCCTTTTCCTTCAGGGAGAGGACTCGGTAAAACAGATGGCAGTGCGCCCCGAGTGCTTCTGCATTATTCTGCATTCGTCTCAACGCCTTTCTCGGTCCCTCCATCAAACCCTTCTTTATTCGTCTTCTGCGGCGGCCCCTACTCGCTCCATCACAGCCTGTCTCCCAAAAAGAAAAAAAAGCTGGTGATCTGACACACTTAAGACGATCGCTTTGCTTTAGAGACGAGAACTAAACTCACCTCCGGGACGTCTGTTGTGAAAAGTGTGATTTTCTTTTCCCGTCGGGTGGAAAAAAATAAACAGGGCGGAAAAATGAGGAGAGATACCCACAGATGGTGTTTTATTCTCAAAGTAGCACCAGGGGACGCAGGCCAATGGTTCATGAACATGATCACGAGATTATTGTTCTAATCTTAGCCTGGTCTTACCATGTGTAAACTCTGGTCCATGGTCATTTCCTACATGTACGTCTGGTCTTACCATGTGTAAACTCTGGTCCATGATCATTTCCTACATGTACGTCTGGTCTTACCATGTGTAAACTCTGGTCCATGGTCATTTCCTACATGTACGTCTGGTCTTACCATGTGTAAACTCTGGTCCATGGTCATTTCCTACATGTACGTCTGGTCTTACCATGTGTAAACTCTGGTCCATGATCATTTCCTACATGTACGTCTGGTCTTACCATGTGTAAACTCTGGTCCATGATCATCTCCTACATGTACGTCTGGTCTTACCATGTGTAAACTCTGGTCCATGATAATTTCCTACATGTACGTCTGGTCTTACCATGTGTAAACTCTGGTCCATGATCATTTCCTACATGTACGTCTGGTCTTACCATGTGTAAACTCTGGTCCATGATCATCTCCTACATGTACGTCTGGTCTTACCATGTGTAAACTCTGGTCCATGATAATTTCCTACATGTACGTCTGGTCTTACCATGTGTAAACTCTGGTCAATGATCATCTCCTACATGTACGTCTGGTCTTACCATGTGTAAACTCTGGTCCATGATCATTTCCTACATGTACGTCTGGTCTTACCATGTGTAAACTCTGGTCCATGATCATTTCCTACATGTACGTCTGGTCTTACCATGTGTAAACTCTGGTCCATGATCATTTCCTACATGTACGTCTGGTCTTACCATGTGTAATCTCTGGTCCATGATCATTTCCTACATGTACGTCTGGTCTTACCATGTGTAAACTCTGGTCCATGATCATTTCCTACATGTACGTCTGGGTCTGATCCTAGTGGCCGCAGTTTCCTCGGTTGAATCCCCTCCGACCAATCAGAGAGCGGGGGAGGCGGGTGTTGTAGGTCGGTGACGTCAAGAGTTTGTGCTGAATTTGCTGGTTGTAGTTTGTCGGAGAATGCGATAGTAAAATAATCTGTTCTGGTTCAATCCAAATATCAAGAAACTGAAGCCGGAGCAAGAGGAATGTTTAGTAAATGTCACTGAAGCAAAGATGTTGTGGCTCTACTCCCCACGGGCTACGTCAGTGGCAAAGGAGATGGCTAAAGCTAGGCTACATGCTAAAGCTAGGCTAAATGCTAAATGCCTCACTCACTCGGGCTCATTACATACGTCACAGTAAACTCAGATCCGATGGTTTAAATCTGCAAAAGGAGTTAGCCCCTCCCACCTGTTAACAGAGTCAATGGAGCAGATCCAGACCTTAGAAAGAGATGAAAATAGTACCATGGTGTGGTAAGACCAGGCTACTGTTCCACTGTACTGACGTGTGTTTTTGATAGCATGGCAAAAATGTATCTGGAGTGTAAACACTTCTCTGGCCTCCTGCTGGTCCCAGAGTCTGAACTAAACATCAGGAGGCAGCAATTCAGATTTATGCATCCAAAATCTGTCTTCCTGAAAATGTGAGACAGGCTTCTGACAATGTTCAAAGTCCAGGTTAAAAACAGTACTGTAACTCCACTCTTTTGAAAGTACTGGGATTATTTATGCCTTGTTTTGTTTCTCTGTATAAGTACTTTACCTTGTGTATGAATTGTGCTCTACAAATGCCCTAGCCTCGCCTTGTCATTCAGCCAACTTCAGCAAACCAGAAAAGACATGCCATACCTCATTTTAAAGGTCAGTCAATCCATGTTGTCCACTTAAATGAACTAAAACGGCCCCTTACTAAAAGTTTGGCTCTCCCCCGGTTCAAAGAGGGACATAATTGTACCTGTTTGTGGCAGAAGTTCCTGATATCACCTTTGACGGAGCAAAACAACTCCAGAAATGTGTGTTTTTGCAATGCAGTGCCTCAGTTTAGATCTAAAATCCTGTATTATTCCATACACACTGCGCTCCGGCAGCAGAGGCGGAGACGGAGATAGAGACGGCTGCGTGACAGAAGATTGCAAAAGGGTTGGTTTTAAAGTTGATAACGTGACTGTGGGCGAGTCTCTTTCTGAAAAGTGAAGGAGAACAAGGCAGACGTCACCTCAGGGACGGGACGCTCTTGGATCTGCCGAGTGCTTCAGTGCTGTTGGATGCCGTGTACTGAGCCCATTAAAACCGGGGGAATGTGTTTAGACAGAGGATAATACAGACAAAAGTGTGCAGTACTTTTTGGGGACATTCAATGACTTATTATAATGTTATGTTGAGTGCATTTCTGTTGTATGTAGCAGTAACAGACGCCCTGAGGCTGAAGGATGAAGGTGACAATCTGAACCTCTTTTATCTACTCATTACAGCTGCAGTGTATTCACAACGGTGCAGCTCGAGTCCTGACTAGAACCAGGAAGTACGACCACATTAGTCCTGACTAGAACCAGGAAGTACGACCACATTAGTCCTGACTAGAACCAGGAAGTACGACCACATTAGTCCTGACTAGAACCAGGAAGTACGACCACATTAGTCCTGACTAGAACCAGGAAGTACGACCACATTAGTCCTGACTAGAACCAGGAAGTACGACCACATTAGTCCTGACTAGAACCAGGAAGTACGACCACATTAGTCCAGACTAGAACCAGGAAGTACGACCACATTAGTCCTGACTAGAACCAGGAAGTACGACCACATTAGTCCTGACTAGAACCAGGAAGTACGACCACATTAGTCCAGACTAGAACCAGGAAGTACGACCACATTAGTCCTGACTAGAACCAGGAAGTACGACCACATTAGTCCTGACTAGAACCAGGAAGTACGACCACATTAGTCCTGACTAGAACCAGGAAGTACGACCACATTAGTCCTGACTAGAACCAGGAAGTACGACCACATTAGTCCTGACTAGAACCAGGAAGTACGACCACAGCATACGTTTATGCTGCTTTATCTTAATATTAAATAATAGTATATTTAGTGAATTTTTAATGCATTTTAATCTGTGTATTTTAAATTTCTCTTGTGAAGCACTTTGAATTGTCTTGTACACAAATTGTGCTATACAAATAAACGATTGATTGATTTATGTCCACGCTATTTATAATGGGGCGGTTTCTCAACAACAGATCAGAGAATGGAGCAGATCGGAGAGAGGAAATGCAATAATGGCAAACACATACTGTAGGAGTCACTGGTCCATAGGGAGTGGGAATGTCCATAAATATTGATAAATGTCCTTAAATGTCCTGGATCTTCACTGTTCTTAGACCTTCATGCATTGGCAATGAACCGCAACTACAACAACAAAAGTGAGAGAAAAGTGTGTTGTGGAAAATTACTAAAAAGTATATTAATAACATAAGAAACGGGAAAAATACTTGACTCAAACTCATAGATTCGGGTTCACCCAGACACTGGCAATATGACACTGTTTGGAGGCTCATGAATTAGATGAAAACTTATGGTGCGTTCCAGCAAGGAGACCATCCCGGTGCTCCTCAGGCCCAGCAGAGTCCAGTCCCTGTGCTCCTCAGCCAGTCCCAGCACGAGTGCCCCTCAGTCCCCAGTCCCTGTGCTCCTCAGAGCCCCAGCAGGAGTCCAGTCCCTCCCTGCTCCTCAGAGTCCAGTCCCTGTGCTCCCAGCAGGAGTCCAGTCCCTGTGCTCCTCAGAGTCCCAGCAGGAGTCCAGTCCCTGTGCTCCTCAGAGTCCCAGCAGGAGTGCAGTCCCTGTGCTCCTCAGAGTCCCAGCAGGAGTCCAGTCCCTGTGCTCCACAAGTCCCAGCAGGAGGCCAGTCCCTGTGCTCCTCAGAGTCCCCAGCAGGAGTCCAGTCCCTGTGCTACTTTGGTGCTTGGCCACGCAGAGACTTGTACACAGCCGACTACTACTATTTTAAAGTCTGTTCTCTGGAAACCTGAGAACTGGACTAATGTGATCCTACGTCCTGGTTCTAGTCTGGTCTCCAGCTGTTTCAGAGACAGATTTTTGTTATTATCAAATCCATAATAAAATGTAGAACAGTTCGTTAAAACGTCAAATTCCAGGCTGAAAACTGCACCAACTTTTTTGCACAGTTAATTCAAGTTTTTTTCTTCTTCTTCTATTTAGCAGAGAGCTCAGTGAGGGGCCGGCCTTTGAAGTGTGGGGACGAACACTGCTACCTGGCTGCGTCTTGATTTGTTCCGCAGCGCACGTTTGAACCAGCAGGGGCGCCATAAATTATGCTCAAAGGACAGAGGGCTCTGAGACGTGCCGTGAGAGCGGTTCTGTTCTTTCATGAGACAAACACCGGCTTCCATTTGGAGCCGAGAGACGGGACCAGACCCCGGCCGTGCACAGCGGTGTGTCTCAATCAGAACAGGCTGAAGAAGAGATTAAACCCACAGTCAGGAGCTTTACAAATACTCCACATTTTAACATTTAAGTGCTGGTTATTCTTCACTGGAGTCAGCACAAAGTTATGGAAAGGTCTATAGATGTGGATTTACTTTGGGCACTACCCATTTTAAACAAGTTTGAAGGGTTTCCAGCTGTTGAAAGTGTAGTGTAGAACTTGGGCACTTTACAGCCGCCCCACTGTGGCACCTGCTGTTCCCAGAGGTCTCCCATCACAGTACTAACCAGGCATGGCCCTGCTTAGCTTCAAAGGTCTGACAGGTACTGGCTTTCACCTGCAGATATGGTCACAATAAATAATGTCAAAATAAAAACGATTACCAAATAACCAAAATAAATCCACTTCATGACAACTTTAGCACATGTTTTTAGTGGTAGGGGAAACCGGAGCACCTGGAGGAACTCTACATAGACACAGGGAGAATATGAAAACCCTGGTTCTAGTTGGTTTGCTGTGAATCGCGAGCGCCACCGTACCACAGTGGCCGAAGAAGGTTACTGCAGGAGTGATTCTGTGTCTATTGGATTTTATTTAACAACTTAAAAAAATAATGTCTTTGCCGATAAAGTTTAGCAGCTTTTTAAAACTCTTTCTGACGTGAAATGAGGAGCGGAGCGAGACCCAGTACTTCCACTCGCTCTCATTTAGTTAATCCGTTTCCTGTTACGGTGGACAGACGTTGCATCACTGTTCGTCAGACAATATTTACGCGACAATCTCCAGCTCAGGATGCGACGGAAATGGATTATTGGGACGGAGGAGGAGACGGCAACTTCCTCATACAAAGCTAATCATTTCTTTACCGGCAACAACTCAAGCGTCTCGGAAAAAAAATAAAGTTTTCTTCATATTGCGTTTTGGAAAGTTTGACGCTCCATCCATATGCATAAGAATCTGTTTGCTCTCGCAGCAGACCTCACAGCCCGACGCCGAGGACGTGATTTAAAACCGGAGTGAGGAAAATGGAGCCGTATTTGAGAAGTGGATGAAATAAACGTTTGGTTATTTAGAGCAGGGCAGGTTTCTGTTTAGGCCTGAATGAGTTTCACAGAGGGGAGCTCAGCAATCATCGATGGAGCATGTCTGGAAACGTTAGACCTGCCGTCGCTGAGCAGAGGCCAAGCCAGTTTTGAATATTTACAGTTTTATCGCAATAATGGGAAAAAGTGAGTTATGTATGGAGATAAGTTTAGATTCAGAAGAACCGCGCTGCCACTGTGTCATGTAAAAGTCTATCACTAACCATGGACAATTATACATATATAAAAAAAACAAAGGTATCAATAATCCAATGCTCAGATCTATTGGTAAATTTAGAAGTCATTTAGCAAGAGCTTCAGTTTGGAAATTGAGCCAAAAGATAAGATAAGATTAGATAAAATAGACTTTATTGATCTCACTCTGGAGAAATGTACAATGTTTAGAGTTGAGCTGAGAGCTGTCCGTGGTGCTGATCCATGATTGTGCTTATATGGCTGAAACAATTTTCATAATCATGAAAATAACTCTTTGAATGAGAAGGTGTGTCCAAACCTTTGGTCTGTACTGCATTTCCATCTGGAGAGACTCGAACACACAACACATAGTACTAGATTTGTATGTTGATTGACACACACACACACACACACACACACCAGACTCATTCTAATGTAGGTGACGCGTCTTGCCTCAGGACACAATGACAGTTTGGCACTTTACAGCCGCAGCCGCCCCACTGTGACTTTGACACCCAGGCTCTACAGCGATCACAGAGATAGGTTTTTAAATAGAATATAAATCCTCTCCCGTGTATTTGTATCAAACGCAGCCACTACAGACACAGATAGCCCCAGGGCAGATCTTGTTATCAGCGCATATTGAAAATCCACATGAAAGATTACACGCATCCATGACCCAAAACAACATCCCATTACAACCATCAGCGCTCACGGTCTCTGCCATATCAGATCACAGACGCAAATCCATCTTTCCGTTGGCCAAAATAAAAGCAAGAGAAAAACGCCGTGTCGTCTGCTTTTGTCTCGCTTCCATCACCGTCAAATCTATTATTCTGCGGCGAAGGAAAGTCGGGCGTTGTTGGCGGCGAGGAAGTTTTTTTGGCTTTTCATTCTTCCGTCTTTGCTTCCGTCTGTCCTCGCCTCGTGACCGGGACGAGTCTGTGTTTTGTGGAAAATGACAATCTGTGTTTTTCAGACAGGTCCGTGCACCAGCGACCGCTCACTTCCTATGATGTTTATTTTAAAGGGGGTCTATAGAGAGCTCGCTGTGGTCCGGTTTAAAGGGCGTCTATAGAGAGCTCGCTGTGGTCTGGTTTAAAGGGCGTCTATAGAGAGCTCGCTGTGGTCTGGTTTAAAGGGCGTCTACAGAGAGCTCACTGTGGTCCGGTTTAAAGGGGTCTATAGAGAGCTCGCTGTGGTCTGGTTTAAAGGGCGTCTACAGAGAGCTCGCTGTGGTCCGGTTTAAAGGGCGTCTACAGAGAGCTCACTGTGGTCCGGTTTAAAGGGGGTCTACAGAGAGCTCACTGTGGTCCGGTTTAAAGGGGGTCTACAGAGAGCTCGCTGTGGTCCGGTTTAAAGGGGTCTATAGAGAGCTCGCTGTGGTCCGGTTTAAAGGGCGTCTACAGAGAGCTCGCTGTGGTCCGGTTTAAAGGGGGTCTACAGAGAGCTCGCTGTGGTCCGGTTTAAAGGGGGTCTACAGAGAGCTCGCTGTGGTCCGGTTTGTCTACAGAGAGCTCCTGTGGTCCGGTTTAAAGGGGTCTATAGAGAGCTCGCTGTGGTCTGGTTTTTAAAGGGCGTCTAAAGGGCGTCTACAGAGAGCTCGCTGTGGTCCGGTTTAAAGGGCGTCTACAGAGAGCTCACTGTGGTCCGGTTTAAAGGGGGTCTACAGAGAGCTCGCTGTGGTCCGGTTTAAAGGGGGTCTATGGAGAGCTCTCTGTGGTCCGGTTTAAAGGGGGTCTACAGAGAGCTCGCTGTGGTCTGGTTTAAAGGGGGTCCATAGAGAGCTCACTGTGGTCCGGTTTAAAGGGCGTCCATAGAGAGCTCGCTGTGGTCTGGTTTAAAGGGCGTCTATAGAGAGCTCGCTGTGGTCCGGTTTAAAGGGGGTCTATAGAGAGCTCACTGTGGTCCGGTTTAAAGGGCGTCTACAGAGAGCTCGCTGTGGTCTGGTTTAAAGGGCGTCTACAGAGAGCTCGCTGTGGTCCGGTTTAAAGGGCGTCTATAGAGAGCTCGCTGTGGTCTGGTTTAAAGGGCGTCTACAGAGAGCTCGCTGTGGTCCGGTTTAAAGGGCGTCTATAGAGAGCTCGCTGTGGTCCGGTTTAAAGGGCGTCTATAGAGAGCTCGCTGTGGTCTGGTTTAAAGGGGGTCTATAGAGAGCTCACTGTGGTCCGGTTTAAAGGGGGTCTACAGAGAGCTCACTGTGGTCCGGTTTAAAGGGCGTCTATAGAGAGCTCGCTGTGGTCCGTTTAAAGGGGGTCTATAGAGAGCTCGCTGTGGTCCGGTTTAAAGGGGTCTATAGAGAGCTCACTGTGGTCCGGTTTAAAGGGGGTCTATAGAGAGCTCACTGTGGTCCGGTTTAAAGGGCGTCTACAGAGAGCTCACTGTGGTCCGGTTTAAAGGGGGTCTACAGAGAGCTCGCTGTGGTCCGGTTTAAAGGGGTCTATAGAGAGCTCGCTGTGGTCCGGTTTAAAGGGGGTCTACAGAGAGCTCGCTGTGGTCCGGTTTAAAGGGCGTCTATAGAGAGCTCGCTGTGGTCCGGTTTAAAGGGGTTATAGAGAGCTCGCTGTGGTCGGTTTAAAGGGGTCTATAGAGAGCTCGCTGTGGTCCGGTTTAAAGGGGGTCTACAGAGAGGCTGTGGTCCGGTTTAAAGGGCGTCTATAGAGAGCTCGCTGTGGTCCGTTTAAAGGGGGTCTACAGAGAGCTCGCTGTGGTCCGGTTTAAAGGGGTCTATAGAGAGCTCACTGTGGTCCGGTTTAAAGGGGGTCTATAGAGAGCTCGCTGTGGTCCGGTTTAAAGGGGGTTATAAGAGAGCTCGCTGTGGTCCGGTTAAAGGGTCTATAGAGAGCTCGCTGTGGTCCGTTTAAAGGGGCTATAGAGAGAGCTCGCTGTGGTCCCGTTTAAAGGGGGGTCTACAGAGTGCTCGCTGTGGTCCGGTTTAAAGGGGTCTATAGAGAGCTCGCTGTGGTCCGGTTTAAAGGGGGTCCATAGAGAGCTCGCTGTGGTCCGGTTTAAAGGGCGTCTATAGAGAGCTCGCTGTGGTCTGGTTTAAAGGGGGTCTACAGAGAGCTCGCTGTGGTCCGGTTTAAAGGGGGTCTATGGAGAGCTCGCTGTGGTCCGGTTTAAAGGGTCTAAAGAGAGTGGTCCTATGTAGACATCTAGGTGTGAAGGTAAATCCAAGTTGGCCAAAGCTTTTATGAAAGTCTTGTATATTTAAATGCAACATATAGGGGTGGCCCTAAACATTAAGCAGACTGAGAACTCACTTAGATAGATAGGAAGGGAGGGAGAGAGAAAGAAGGAGAAAGAAGGAGAGAAAAAGAAAGACAATGATATCTTTATAAACATTCGACTTTGAAAAAAACTGTAAAATGTCTGCATCAAACTCGATATACGTTTTCTCATCTCCTTTCTTCCCACTCCCCGTCAGCTCAGTGTCACCTGTTCCACAAGTGTTCCTCCGCCCACCTCCCGTCGCCGCGACAACCACTCTCCACGTCCGAGCTCTGACACCGGCATCTGCCACGGCCCCTGGATCCGCTGTTCTGTTCGGATAATGGGCCAATCTGGCAACCCGCTGGTTTTAGGGACGTTTGACAGCACCATGCATATTCATACAACTCACATACACACACACAGACACACACAAACACACACACAGACACACACACGCACACACACACACATGCACAGGCACACACACATGCACAGACACACACACACACAGCCTCATGGACCATTACCCGGGGCCAGCGTCTTCACCTCCAAAGAGATTATTTATACAGTTGGACTCTTTGAAAAACACTCGGACCTTTGTTTAAACGACCAAGAGTAGAATCAAAGTCTCTCCACTGCCTTAGACCAAAAGTACTTTTCTTAAACGCAGGAAAAGTACGATTTTAAAGAGAAAATGAAGGCACTGTCTGAACTCAAGCTATTTAATCCACAGTTTAGGTTAATGAAAGGTATATGGGGGGATCATCAAGACTATTGGTCCTCCCAGCTGTCAATCATTCTGGTGATACGTGCTCGTCCAATAAGAGCAGAGAGTTTTGTTCATAAAGTGGAGAGGGCGGTTCTTTCCTAAAGTTTGGGAAAATCCTCCAATAGAGGTTTTGCACCACCATGTGACCTACGTAGCAACCGCCACTAAGCGGCCATGTTGGATGGCAGGTATGAAACTTTATACAGTCAGATTCAACACAGTGGCCGAGAGCACACCTTTACTAAGACTGATGGGAAAGTTTTGCTGCGTCTTTAATTGTGGTAAACGCTCAGAGCGAGACGGTATTTTTTTTTTTTTAAATACCGGCCGTAATTCGCCATCAAAGAAAATAAACTATCGAAAAAGCGACTGCAGCAATGGTTAGCAAGCTAGCATTTGTGACAATGCAGTTTAAAACGGGGAAATCAATAACGTGTTTGTCTGTTCTTGTCATTTTCACCTAAGTTAGTTGTTCTAATAAAAACATTGCGTTGGAGAAAAACGTTTGTCAGTGACGTGCGGTTGGTGACTGAGGCACTGACTTCATCACAATCAGATTAAACTACATATCAACAGGACATACAGAGGATTATTCACTCATGGTCCACATTGTTTGCTCAAACAAAACGCCAAAGTAAAAAGAACATTTAAAAGTGTGTTATGGTCTTACCTTATATGAACTCCACACACCACTTCATTCAGTTCAGACCAGTTTCATGTTTAAATCCAGATAAAAGTTTAGTATAGATGTGTAATCCTCTGTTCACAATGTAGATTATGTAATCCTCCATTTGGAAATAAGATTCAAAAAGTAAAAAGAACAAATATGGGTGTCCCTCTTGTTTTGCTAGCTCGGTGCTGCAGCCCCGACTTTCGGGTGCGTCCAATTTGTTAAATCCACTTTCTTATCCTTTTACTTCAAATTCCACTAGAAAACCTCTTTGGAAGCTCTTCCGCTGCTGAGAGCAGCTACAGGTTTGGCTAACGTACTTTACATGTAATACATGTTAAGATAGAAAAAATGTAAAAGCCACTTATACCAATCATATGCTTTCAATGAGATAGGAATGATAAGACACCTCTCCTCCTCTTCCTACTCACTCCTCCCCTCCATCGCTCCTCCTCCCCCTCCATCTCTCCCCCTCCATCTTTCCTCCTCCCCCTCCATCTCTCCTCCTCCTTATCTCCGCCTCCTTCTCTCCCCCTCCATCTACCCCCCTCCTTCTCTCCCCCTCCATCTTTCCTCCTCCCCCTCCTTCTCTCCCCCTCCTTCTCTCCCCCTCCTTCTCTCCCCCCTCCTCCTCCCCTCTCTCTCTCCCCCCTCCTTCTCTCCCCCTCCTTCTCTCCCCCTCTCTCTCCTCCTCCTTCTCTCCCCCTCCTTCTCTCCCCCTCCTCTCTCTCCTCCTCCATCTCTCCCCCTCCATCTTTCCTCCTCCCCCTCCATCTCTCCTCCTCCTTCTCTCCCCCTCCATCTTTCCCCCTCCATCTTTCCTCCTCCATCTTTCCTCCTCCATCTTTCCTCCTCCCCCTCCTTCTCTCCCCCTCCTTCTCTCCCCCTCCTTCTCTCCCCCTCCATCTCTCCTCCTCCTTCTCTCCCCCTCCTTCTCTCCCCCTCCTTCTCTCCTCCTCCATCTTTCCTCCTCCATCTTTCCTCCTCCCCCTCCATCTCTCCTCCTCCTTCTCTCCCCCTCCATCTTTCCTCCTCCATCTTTCCTCCTCCCCCTCCTTCTCTCCCCCTCCTTCTCTCCCCCTCCTTCTCTCCCCCTCCATCTCTCCTCCTCCTTCTCTCCCCCTCCTTCTCTCCCCCTCCTTCTCTCCTCCTCCATCTCTCCCCCTCCATCTTTCCTCCTCCCCCTCCATCTCCTCCTCCTCCTCTCTCTCCCCCTCCATCTTTCCCCCTCCATCTTTCCTCCTCCATCTTTCCTCCTCCCCCTCCATCTCTCCTCCTCCTTCTCTCCCCCTCCATCTTTCCTCCTCCATCTTTCCTCCTCCCCCTCCTTCTCTCCCCCTCCTTCTCTCCCCCTCCTTCTCTCCCCCTCCATCTCTCCTCCTCCTTCTCTCCCCCTCCTCTCTCCCCCCTCCTTCTCTCCTCCTCCATCTCTCCCCCTCCATCTTTCCTCCTCCCCCTCCATCTCTCCTCCTTCTCTCCCCCTCCATCTTTCCTCCTCCATCTTTCCTCCTCCCCCTCCTTCTCTCCCCCTCCTTCTCTCCCCCTCCATCTCTCCTCCTCCTTCTCTCCCCCTCCTTCTCTCCCCCTCCTTCTCTCCCCCTCCATCTCTCCCCCTCCATCTTTCCTCCTCCCCCTCCATCTCTCCTCCTCCTTCTCTCCCCCTCCATCTACCCCCCTCCATCTCTCCCCCTCCATCTTTCCTCCTCCCCCTCCATCTCTCCTCCTCCTTATCTCCGCCTCCTTCTCTCCCCCTCCATCTACCCCCCTCCTTCTCTCCCCCTCCATCTTTCCTCCTCCCCCTCCTTCTCTCCCCCTCCTTCTCTCCCCCTCCTTCTCTCCCCCTCCATCTCTCCTCCTCCTTCTCTCCCCCTCCTTCTCTCCCCCTCCTTCTCTCCTCCTCCATCTCTCCCCCTCCATCTTTCCTCCTCCCCCTCCATCTCTCCTCCTCCTTCTCTCCCCCTCCATCTTTCCCCCTCCATCTTTCCTCCTCCATCTTTCCTCCTCCATCTTTCCTCCTCCCCCTCCTTCTCTCCCCCTCCTTCTCTCCCCCTCCTTCTCTCCCCCTCCATCTCTCCTCCTCCTTCTCTCCCCCTCCTTCTCTCCCCCTCCTTCTCTCCTCCTCCATCTTTCCTCCTCCATCTTTCCTCCTCCCCCTCCATCTCTCCTCCTCCTTCTCTCCCCCTCCATCTTTCCTCCTCCATCTTTCCTCCTCCCCCTCCTTCTCTCCCCCTCCTTCTCTCCCCCTCCTTCTCTCCCCCTCCATCTCTCCTCCTCCTTCTCTCCCCCTCCTTCTCTCCCCCTCCTTCTCTCCTCCTCCATCTCTCCCCCTCCATCTTTCCTCCTCCCCCTCCATCTCTCCTCCTCCTTCTCTCCCCCTCCATCTTTCCCCCTCCATCTTTCCTCCTCCATCTTTCCTCCTCCCCCTCCATCTCTCCTCCTCCTTCTCTCCCCCTCCATCTTTCCTCCTCCATCTTTCCTCCTCCCCCTCCTTCTCTCCCCCTCCTTCTCTCCCCCTCCTTCTCTCCCCCTCCATCTCTCCTCCTCCTCCTTCTCTCCCCCTCCTTCTCTCCCCCTCCTTCTCTCCTCCTCCATCTCTCCCCCTCCATCTTTCCTCCTCCCCCTCCATCTCTCCTCCTCCTTCTCTCCCCCTCCATCTTTCCTCCTCCATCTTTCCTCCTCCCCCTCCTTCTCTCCCCCTCCTTCTCTCCCCCTCCATCTCTCCTCCTCCTTCTCTCCCCCTCCTTCTCTCCCCCTCCTTCTCTCCCCCTCCATCTCTCCCCCTCCATCTTTCCTCCTCCCCCTCCATCTCTCCTCCTCCTTCTCTCCCCCTCCATCTACCCCCCTCCATCTCTCCCCCTCCATCTTTCCTCCTCCCCCTCCATCTCTCCTCCTCCTTATCTCCGCCTCCTTCTCTCCCCCTCCATCTACCCCCCTCCATCTCTCCCCCTCCATCTTTCCTCCTCCCCCCTCCTTCTCCCCCCCTCCTTCTCCCTCTCCATCTCTCCCCCTCCATCTCTCCTTCCCCCCCTCCATTGCTCCTCCTCCCCCTCCATCACTCCTCATCTCCTCCTCTCCCCCCCTCCATCACTCCTCTTCTCCTCCTCTCCCCCTCCTTCTCTCCCCCTCCATCTCCTCCTCTCCCCCCCTCCATCACTCCTCTTCTCCTCCTCTCCCCCTCCTTCTCTCCCCCTCCATCTCCTCCTCTCCCCCCCTCCATCACTCCTCTTCTCCTCCTCTCCCCCCCTCCATCACTCCTCTTCTCCTCCTCTCCCCCTCCTTCTCTCCCCCTCCATCTCCTCCTCTCCCCCCCTCCATCGCTCCTTCTGCCGCTGGTTCTTGTCAGTAATCATTTCGTTCGGTCGGTAAAATACAGCTCTGTGGGAGCCGGACGCTTGAGGCCGACGCAGGAAAAGATTGCTCTTCTGCGGAAATAAACTCAAGTGAGATCTGACGAGTCTCTCCATTCTCAGGAAAACCCGGGGCCGGAGCCTCACCGCGAACACACACCATGAACACACACCACGAACACACACCATGAACACACACCAGGAACACACACCATGAACACACACCATGAACACACACCATGAACACACACCATGAACACACACCATGAACACACACCACGAACACACACCATGAACACACACCAGGAACACACACCATGAACACACACCATGAACACACACCATGAACACACACCATGAACACACACCATGAACACACACCATGAACACACACCACGAACACACACCATGAACACACACCAGGAACACACACCATGAACACACACCATGAACACACACCATGAACACACACCATGAACACACACCATGAACACACACCATGAACACACACCATGAACACACACCATGAACACACACCATGAACACACACCACGAACACACACCATGAACACACACCAGGAACACACACCATGAACACACACCATGAACACACACCATGAACACACACCATGAACACACACCATGAACACACACCATGAACACACACCACGAACACACACCATGAACACACACCAGGAACACACACCATGAACACACACCATGAACACACACCATGAACACACACCATGAACACACACCATGACACACACACCATGAACACACACCATGAACACACACCAGGAACACACACCATGAACACACACCATGAACACACACCATCACACCATGAACACACACCGCGAACACACACCAGGAAACACACACCATGAACACACACCGCGAAACACACACCATGAACACACACCATGAACACACACTTCATGAACACACACCACAAACACACACCCTGAACACTAGGGTTGGGCATCGTTTGCAATTTTCCGATTCCGGTTCCGATTCTCACTATCGATTCCTGTTCTAAACGATTCTCGATTCCGATTCTTTGAGGTGCAGGAGAGAAAAAAAAAAAGATAATTTTTTATCAAATTTAATTTCATAAGTACTTTTCCTGCCATAAGGCAACAGAAAGTGCTTTACATAAAAACAAATTAAATTAAAAAACAAGGAACACGAACGAACACACACACACACACACACACACGCACACACACACACACACACGCACACACGCACACGCGCACACGCACACACGCGGTGTTTATGTGGCACCGCCCACCATCATCTCAGAGCAGCTGAAATGTAAACACGTCTCTGTAAACCGCTGAAAAACGGCTAAAGTGAGAATACTGGAGGATTATCGTTGGACGGACAGATTTGACCAAAGCACAAGGACTCGTGCATCGTGTTTTCGGAGTTTTTTACGGATTATTACATGGAGGAGGAGCAGGACTTTTTGCGGTCCTCGGCAGGTGGACAACGTGTTTCCCTTCTTCATCATTACAAAGGGCCTGACCAGTAACTTTAAGGTAAGGAACATCAGTTTTGGATGTGTTTGTAAAGCGAGTGATGAAACTGATGTAGCGTGAGTTTGGGGAAACTGCACCGGGCTAGCACGAGTGTTCAACCGGTCAATACGCCCGTTAAACCTCGCTGTCTGGACTCTAACTTAACCAAATAATATCTGAATTAGTCATTTGACGGATAAATGTTTGCTTCCTTTACCCCTTGACTCAGTTTTATCTGCGTTTGTGGAAAATGTGAAGATACAAGCGTTGAGATGGCAGGAGTGTGTGGCTGAAGCTAAATGTGGCAAATACTGAGCAAACACGAGCGCGCCGTCTCATAAGAGCTTAATTCACTGAGTTTTTCACAAAGCACAAAGGTGGACAGCTGCTAAGCATTTTTGAAACGTGTCCCCCCCCCCACCTTCCAAACGCTTCCGACGCCGCTGTGCGGGCCGCATCCGGCATTTAGGAATCGAAAAAAGAATCAAAATACAAACGTCTTCTTAACGGTTCCGGAACCGCACTTTAGGAACCGGTTCCAAATAGGAACCGGTTCTCGGTGCCCAACCCTAGTGAACACACACCATGAACACACACTTCATGAACACACACCACGAACACACACCGCGAACACACACCGCAAACACACACACCGTGAACACACACCACGAACACACACTATGAACACACACCACGAACACACACCATGAACACACACCATGAACACACACCACGAACACACACCGTGAACACACACCACAAACACACACCATGAACACACACCATGAACACACACCATGAACACACACCACAAACACACACCACGAACACACACCATGAACACACACCATGAACACACACCACGAACACACACCGCGAACACACACCGTGAACACACACCACGAACACACACTATGAACACACACCACGAACACACACCATGAACACACACCATGAACACACACCATGAACACACACCGTGAACACACACCACAAGCACACACCATGAACACACACTTCATGAACACACACCACAAACACACACCACGAACACACACCATGAACACACACCACGAACACACACCATGAACACACACCATGAACACACACCATAAACACACACCATGAACACACACTACAAACACACACCATGAACACACACCATGAACACACACCACGAACACACACCACGAACACACACTACAAACACACACTACAAACACACACCATGAACACACACCATGAACACACACCATGAACACACACCACAAACACACACCACGGACACACACCATGAGCACACACTTCATGAACACACACCATGAACACACACCATGAACACACACCACGAACACACACCGTGAACACACACCACAAACACACACCATGAACACACACCACGAACACACACCATGAACACACACTTCATGAACACACACCACAAACACACACCACGAACACACACCATGAACACACACCATGAACACACACCACGAACACACACCATGAACACACACCATGAACACACACCACAAACACACACCATAAACACACACCATGAACACACACTACAAACACACACCATGAACACACACCACGAACACACACCATGAACACACACTACAAACACACACCATGAACACACACCATGAACACACACCATGAACACACACCATGAACACACACCATGAACACACACCACAAACACACACCATAAACACACACCATGAACACACACTACAAACACACACCATGAACACACACCATGAACACACACCACGAACACACACCACGAACACACACTACAAACACACACCATGAACACACACCACGAACACACACCATGAACACACACCACAAACACACACCACGGACACACACCATGAGCACACACTTCATGAACACACACCATGAACACACACCATGAACACACACCACGAACACACACCGTGAAACACACACCACAAACACACACCATGAACACACACCACGAACACACACCATGAACACACACTTCATGAACACACACCACAAACACACACCACGAACACACACCATGAACACACACCATGAACACACACCACGAACACACACCATGAACACACACCATGAACACACACCACAAACACACACCATAAACACACACCATGAACACACACTACAAACACACACCATGAACACACACCATGAACACACACCACGAACACACACCATGAACACACACTACAAACACACACCATGAACACACACCATGAACACACACCACGAACACACACCATGAACACACACCATGAACACACACCACAAACACACACCACGGACACACACCATGAGCACACACTTCATGAACACACACCATGAACACACACCACGAACACACACCATGAACACACACCACGGTGGCTGAGTGGATAGCACTCTCGCCTCTCAGCAAGAAGGTCCTGGGTTCGAATCCCGGTCGGACCAGGGCCTTTCTGAGTGGAGTTTGCATGTTCTCCCCGTGTCTGCGTAGGTTTCCTCCGGGTACTCCGGTTTCCCCTACCACTAAAAATATGTCCAATAGTTCTAGCATGTGCCTCCTGTACTGGCCCCGCTCCCATCTCTGTGTGGAGTGAGAGACTAATGCCCAAAAAAAAATTAACAATTGTAAACCGCTTTGAGACTCAGATCTGCAGTGAAAAGGCGGTATATAAATAAAAACTTACTTACTTACTTACTTACTTACACCATGAACACACACCACAAACACACACCATGAGCACACACTTCACGAACACACACCATGAACACACATGAAACACACAAACGAGACAGAGACAGACACACAGACACACACAGACAGACAGACAGACAGTTCTAAGTTAATGTTGATCCTTGAGTCACTTTTTGGGTCTCTTTGTTCTCCTTAAACAACACATTATATTATTAAAACAAAATCTTACTGAAGCTATGGACATACAATGAGTAATGTACGGAATGCAGATATCCTCTCCTTTAGCTCTCTCTCGACTACTCTGTGATACAGCAATATACGCTCATCTATACGTGGGAAAAAGGGTCTCTTAAACACAAACACATGTCTACAATATGGGAAAATAACACAGCTGCTACATTCATGGAGAAAAAACCCTGGTAAAAAAGCCGGCCACCGGGAATACATCTCCGTACGTCTCGGAGATTGAGAAACGGCCGCTCTGTGGTTCTGTGTTTGCAGAATGGCTAATCCATAGGCTGCGGATTTACATTCATCTCCTCCACTGTCGAAGCAGCCGCAGTTATGAAGAAATCAACACTCAATGCAAATGCTAGCAAAACATCTGCGCTAACAAAGTGTCCCGCAAGACTCGCGTCAACGGATTACGGCGGCGAGATTCCATTAGTGCGTTTTAGCGGTCGCAAAGAGAATGCACACAAATGGAAGAAAAACTTAGCATTTATAAACAGCCTGAAGCTAACGGGAGACGGGATGCCAA